TCAATAAATACACAAAACAAAACTATAAGGTTAGAGGTTAGGATAGTGGTTATTTCTGGGAAGGCAGTGGGTGGTGATTAGAAGGAGGCATGAGAGGTGCTTCTGGGTGCTGACAATATTCTATTTTGTGAGTTGGGTTGCACACAGATATAGCCCCATGATAATTTACTAAAATGTACATATTTTCTGTGCTTTTTCTATACATATTTTTCAATACAGTAAAAGTTAAACAGAAAGTAAAACCAAACCTAATCAAAACCAAAAAAAAAAATTTGGCTATATTGTCCCTATGACTAATTCAGAGTGTTGGAATTTTTTTTCTCTCAGCAACAATATAACAAATCAGTTAGATCTTAATACCTAGAGTTTAGCCATCAGAAATCGTACTCTCTGCACCACTATATTCACTGCAGCATTATATACAATAGCTAAGATTTGGAAGCAGGCCAAGTGGATAAAAAAGCAGTGATACATTTACACATCGAATACTACTTGGGAGAAAAAAAGGAAATCTTACCTTTTGTGACAGCAGGATGGGCCTGGAAAGTAGTATGCTAAGTGAAATAAGCCAGTCAGAGAAAGACAAATATCATATGATTTCACTTATGTGAAGAATTTAATGACCAAATAAACTAACAAACAAAATAGAAACAGACTCATGGATACAGAGAACAGAGTGACAGCTATCAGAGGGGAGCAGGGTTGGGGAGGTGGATGAAAATGGTGAAGGGATTAAGAAAAAGAACCTCACAGACACAGACAATAGCATGGTGATTACCAGAGGAAATGGGGCGTAGGGGAAGGTGGAAGAGAGTAAAGGGGGATAGATGGTGATGAAGGAGACTTGGAGCAGTAAACGCACATACAATATACAGATACTATATTACAGAATTGTATACTTGAAACCTACATAATTTTATTAACCAATGTCAACCCAATAAATTCAATTAAAAATTAAGAAAAGATTCTACCAATTTAAAACTATAGTAGCATTGAAAAAAAGAAGTCTAACGCTGAGATCTTTGGCTATAAAAGTAAATTATATTGTTCATTTATGTTAACAACTCTACCCTCCATTTTTTATCATGTAAATTCCAAAAATACATAATTCCTGTTAGATCAAGTCCAGATTTCTCAGCCTACTATTAAAAAGCTGCTACTATCCTTCTACTATCTGGCTCCGTCTAACAAGTAGAAAATTATCTGCTCCTAAGTGACAACTCAAATTCTCCATTCCATTCCTACTAGATTGGCTTCTAGCCAATCCTCACTCAAATTGTTATTCAAATGTGATTCTCTTTTCCTTATGTCCAATCATTTAAATTTTAAATCATCTTTAAGAATCTGTTCAAGTACTAACTCCTTCCTGAAGCCTAAATAATTAAGTATGTATGTTATTTTTATATAGTTTTAGCTTGCTTTATCTCTTCTAATACATTTTAAGATTTCTTTTTCTAGAGCATCAATTACAGTACCTAGTTCACTTAAGAGATGGTAAAAGCCTGATAAACATCCAATGTCTGCATGTGGAGATATGGGAGGCTAGAGAGTGAAGAAGTAACAAAAAGCCAACTATTCTTCCACGGTCCCTAAGAGCATTCTTGCTCTGAAGGCTTCCAGCTCCAGGCCACAGCTGGGCAGTTTGAGTCTGGGTCCTTTCGTTAACGTGCTGTGTGTAGTGGACACTGACACGCAACACTACGTGGGAGGGGCAAAACATAACCAGTTAAAGCTGAAAAACCTGGACTAACATAGAAGCTTAAAAGCTCAGATACATAGAATGTTTTTATGAGTCCCAATGATTTCAGAAAGAGATTTTTTGTTCACAATTTAAGCAAATACGATCAAATCTTTAAATCTTTAAACTAACATTAAAAACAGCCTTCTTCCATAATTTGGGTATCCTAAAAACCTCTGATGAACTAGTGCTTTTAAAATAAACAAACAAGTAGAATGAGCCAAAAAAATCACAATTTAATGACTGGCTAGTCTCTGAAGAAATTGTCAATCTGGTGTGATATGTATGACAGATTAGCATATGGTATCTGAAACAAAGATCAACTAGCAAATGTAAGAATTAACTTTATTAATGACTTATTGCCAACACTAGCAAATAATTGGCTTACTGAAACATCTTTAAATGAAGTGTTATAAGGGTGAGCTGATATTTATGTTAATCTCCAAAAGACTGGCATGTGCCATCACTTCAGAAGTCCTTAATGAAACAGAATATCCAATTAATATGCCAGTGATCTCTCTAAGGCAAGGGCCCCCAACCCCCAGGCTATGGACTGGTACCAGTCTGTGGCCTGTTAGGAATTGGGCTGCACAGCAGGAGGTGAGTGGCAGGGGCGTGAGTGAAGTTTCCTCTGTATTTACAGCCATTCCCTATAGCTTGCACCTCCACCTGAGGTATTCTCATAGGAGCACGAACCCTACTGTGCACAAAACATGCAAGGGAGCTAGGTTGTGTGCTCCTTATGAGATTTTAAAGCCTAATGATCTGAGGAGGAGCTGAGGCTGTGATGCCAGCCCTGGGAAGCAGCTGCAAATACAGGTTATCATTAGCAGGGAGGTTCGACTGCACAGAGACCATAATAAATCAATTGCTTGCAGACTCATGTCAAAACCCCATTAATAAGCGGCAGATGACAATTAAGCTGCATTCAGTGGCAGGCTTTATAGTGGCAAGTGAGCTGATGCACTTCAATTGCACAGCTGCTTCTGGTGGCAGGCTTTAAGTCAGAATGTGACACTTAGTCCACGCATGGCCCACCCATTATTTCATTCACCACTTGCATCTGCACCTCTTTCCTGCACTGTGCACTTGTCTCAGTCACAGTTTTGGTAAGCCCACATGCTAACCCTAGCCAAAAGGAGTAAAAAATAAATATCACTGGAGAGCTTTTTTGAAAAGGAGGAAAGACCCAATGATGAGACAGCAGAAGACTCTAAGACTGCCAACAAAAAGAAAGCTGCATTGAAAAGAAAATACTAAGAGTCCTACTTAAATTTTGGGTTCATTGCAACAGGTGATTCCCATTCTCCCATCCCACTTCATATAGCGTGTGGACCGGCTATCCAATGAAGCCATGAAACCTTCAAAATGGCTTCACCACATGGAGACCAAGCACCCTGCATTAAAAGACAAGCCTTTGGAAATTTTTTAAAAGAAAAAAAAACAAAACATGAACCCGAAGAACAGGCAATTATCGAAGGCCACCATTTCATCAGATGTGTCTGCACTGAGAGCATCAGTTTCAGTGGTTAACTACATTGCTAAAGCTTAGAAGCCCCTTACCGTTGCTGAAGAGCTGAGCCTGCCTGCTGCTGAGGACATTTGTCATGAGTTTTTAGAAGAGGCTGCCATTCAAAAAGTGGCACATGCTCCTCTTTCAGCTAGCACCATAACTAGAGGAATTAATGAAATAGCAGAGGGTACTGAGGCACAGTTGTTAGAGAGGGTTAATGAGTCACGAAGGTACTCAATCCAGGTTGATGAGTCTACCAATGCTGACAACAAGGCAACAATGCTTGTTTCTGTGTGATATATTCTTCAGGAGGATGTGCATGAGCATATTTTATGTGCACTTTTGTTGCCAACCAACATCATAGCTGCAGAACTCTTCAAGTCTTTGAGTGATTACAAATCAGGAAAACTGAATTAGTCATTTTGTGTCAATATATACATGGATGGAGCAGCTGCCATGGCTGGACAGCTTTCTGGTTTCACTACTCTGCTCAAAGTGGTCACTTCTGAATGTGAGTCTATGCACTGTGTGATCCATGGAGAAATGCTGGCTAGCCAAAAAAGATCTCCTGAACTTAACAACATTTTGCAGGATGTGATTAAAATGATCAACCACATTAAAGTACATGCCCTTAACCCATGTCTGTTCACACAGCTCTGTGAGGGGATGGGCGCAGAGCACACACGTCTTTTATACACAGAGGTGAGATGGTTTTCTAAAGGGAGATACTGGCAAGAGTTTCTGAGTTATGACAGCTGCTCCAGAGATTTCTTTTAGAAAAACAGTCACCACTGGCAGCACATTTCAGTGACACAGAATGGGTTGTAAAACTTGCTTACTTGTGTGACATACTCAGCATGCTCAATGAACTCAGTCTGTCACTACAGGGGTCACTGACAACTGTGTTCAAGTTGGCAGATAAAGTGGCTGCATTCAAAGCCAAACTGAAATTATGGGGACAAAAGTGAACATTGGGATTTTTGATGTTTCAAACATTAGCAGAGATTTTGAAAGACTGAGACTGAGCCAGGGCCTTCTTTCTCCCAGCTGGTGCATGACCCCCTGTCTCAGCTTTCAAAAGACTTTGAGCATTGCTTCCCAACCACAAAAGACCCCGAACTGGGGAGGAATGGACCCAAGACCCATTTATGAATAAGCCAGGTGCTAGAAGAGGATTAACTGCTTGAGATCACAAATGATGGTGGCTTAAAGGTATGTTTGAGACAACTTCAAATCTCCATATGCTCTGGATTAAAGTCAAGGCAGAATATTCTGAGATTGCCACAAAAGCACTGAAAAGCCTGCTTCTATTTCCAACATCCTATCTTTGTGAAGCAGGGTTTTCTGCAGTGACAACAACCAAAACGAGGTTAGAGTAGACTGAACATAAGCAATACATTTTGAGTGTCACTGTCTCCCATCACCCCCAGTAGGGACCATCAAGTTGCAGGAAAGCCAGCCCAGGGTTCCCACTGACTCTTTATTATGATGAGTTGTATAATTATTTCATTGTATATTACAATGTAAAAATAATAGAAGTGCACAATAAATGCAATGTGCTTGAATCATCCCAAAACCACAGCCCCCTCCCCACCACCCCAGTCTGTGAAAAAATTCTTCCACAAAAACAGTCCCTGGTGCCAAAAATGTTGGGACCGCTGTTCTAAGGGACATGAGCAGCATTTGTTTGTGTTGAAAAGTATATGTCACTTAAGCTTTAAGTTAAAAGTCCAGAGAATTTCAACATACATGAGCTTTATGATAGGGGTTGTTGTCTTTGATTCCTGGTAAATATCTCCGCCTTCCCAAAATGGTCTGAACAAACCCATCTCTTTCACAATTTTTCACTGTCTCTTTCACAAAATGATTAATCCCTACAAAGAAAAAAAAGTACAGCAAAAAACCATTATTAATTTCATTCAATAGTTTAAAGATAGTGAAACATATCAAAACCCCACTAATATCACATCATCATTTGCATATAAACTTTCATTCACTTTTTGTAGATTCAAAAAGTTAGAAATAAAAGGGACTTTAGGAATGATATAATCTAACTCTTTGTTTTTAACCAAAAACAACAATTTTTTTTTTTAAAAAAACTAAACTCCAGCACAACAAGCAAGTAGGATGTAAAACCTAGGATGTTTTACTCCAGGGTCTTAAGAGGATTCCATGCTACTTTTCACAGGTTTCTGTACTTTAATTATCTTAATCCTCTTTTACTCTGATCTTATCATTTCCAGGCTTAAAACATTCTACCAGCTCCCTGCTACCATCTAAACTGCAATCCAAATAGGACCTAACTGAAATTAATGCATTAGTTGTAATTTCCATTGGGAACATATACAACCTACTTCTTAAAATTCAAAAAGACTATGTATAGTATATCATTTTTTATGAATGGTTTACTTCATCAGTTTAATCTTTATTGTATTTTTCCCATTACCATTTGGTCCCCTTTTACCCCCCTCCCCCTGCTATTCATACACATTCATGTCCCCTGTACCAGCCTTCATCCTTTGCAATATAGGTCCATTCTTATGTCTGATGAATCTCCAGGATGAATTCTTTGCTCCAGGTGGGGCCAATCTCATCACTGCTCATTCCTGTCTCTGAGCTAGAGAGGTTCTTTCTCTACATACTTTAAAACACAAAAGTATAGAGATTGTGCTGATCTACCTTTATTCATCTGTACAACCTCTGCTTTCTCATGGCTCTGCTCATCCTAAGTATTGGGTTGGCCAGAAAGTTTGTTTTTTGTTACATAAGATGGCTCTAGTAGTGCTTAGTTGTCTTTAACTTCATTCAAAACAATTTTGTTAGATTGTATTGTAACAGCTCTCATATCAGTGTGCATTTTAAAAAACATCAAAACTGGTGGATTTTTGTGTAGCCATTTTAATATTGAAGGTGGAAGAAAATACACATATATGCTTTATTATTTCAAGAAAGGTAAAAACTCAACTGAAGTGCAAATAAAGATTTGTGCAGTATATGAAGAAGGTGTTGTGACTGATCAAAATGTGTCAAAAGTGGTTTGCAAAGCTCCGTGCAGAGATGTCTCAGTGGATGATGCTCCATAGTCAGGTAGAACAGTTGGAGTTGACAGCAATCAAATCGAGACATTAACTGAGAACAATCAACATTATACCACATGGGAAATTGACAACATACTCAAAATATCCAAATCATTAAAGCTATAGGTGAAAATAAAAACCAATAGCTTTATTTTACAGAAAAGAACGATATGGGCTTTTTGGCCAGCCCAATAATCAACACTAATGTCTCCCAATTGCAATTCCTCTTTTGAAGATTTCTGTTGTGTGGCTGGCATAGGAACGGTATCTGAGGAGACTGTGGGTGAGAGGAGGAAGAAAACCCTATCCTACCAGATAAAGCTGTTGGTGATATTTGACCACTAGCATGAAAGTTCAGAAAGCAATCAGGCTGTGATCTTTTTCTCTTTAAGAATTACTGTGATATCCAAACTTGCTGTCGCAAAGAATAGGAGTTCCTTCTTTCATTCTGCTGCATAGTTTTCCATTGCATAAATGTACCATAGTTTTTTGATCCACTCACTTACTGATGGGAGAGTATTATGCTAAGTGAAATAAGCCAGGCAGTGAAAGACAAATACCATATGATCTCACCTATAAGTGGAACCTAATGAACAAAACAAACAAGCAAGTGAAATATAACTAGAGGCACTGAAATAAAGAAAAACTGACAGTAGCCAGAGGGGAGGTGGGAGGGGCTATTGGGGGGGAAAGGGGAAGGGTCATCACAGAACATATATAAAGGGCACGTGGACAAAGTCAAAGGGGGGTAGGACTAAAGGTGGGAGGTGGGGATGGGTGGGGTGGGAGGGAGTGGTGGGGGAAAATGGAGACAACTGTACTTGAACAACAATAATAAATAAATCAGAAAAAATAATTTAAAAAATTACTCTGATATTATTAAGAGCAAACAAATGTTGAGATTTAAGAAATCTTTACAAATTCTCTTACCTGACTCTGTAGTAGGCCTTCAAATATTCAGAGATTGCAAGAACTACTTTAAAAACAATCATTCTGAGATATAATTTAGATACAATAAAAGGCACCCATTTCGGGTTAACAGTTTGATGTATTTTAATAAATGTATAGACTTCTACAACAACCACTACAAGATGCAAACCATTTCATCAACTTTACAGCCAGATCCTTATTATCAGCCTTGCTCACTCACTGATGTGTTTTATGACACTTAGTTATGACATCTTGGTTTTTTTGTGTTCTTGAAATTCATAAAAATTGAATTCCACTATATATTCTCATTTATGTCTCTTCTTTTGCTAAGTAGTATTACATTGCAGAGATCTACCAAAATCTGTTTATCCATAATCCTATTGATAGACATTTGGACTGTTCCCAATCTTTTGGGCTGTTATGAACAAAACTACTATAACATCCATGTACAAGTCTTCCTTTGGACATGTGTTTTCATTTTTCTTGGGCAAATATAATAATACCCAGTAGTAGAACTGCAGGATCAAATGGCTTAGTTTATGTTTAACTTTCTAAGAAAGAGCCATACTACTTTCCAAAGCGATTGTGCCATTTTACAACTTTATCAGCAATGTAAAAGAGATACAATGTTTTTATTTTTATTTTTTTAATTTACAGTCTGATTTATTTGATTTACACTTAATTTTTAAATGTATATATGAAGAAGAACTTCTGGCTTGGTGGAGTAAGGGCCTATGAAAATCCCCTCTGGTGTGAAAGCAGTAACACTGGAAAATATTGTCAAAATAAATATTTTCAGAACTTTGGAAATTAACCAAAGGTTTGTAACAACCAGAAGAGTGTGTATTCAAGAAAAATGGCTAGACTAATACAAACAGTGAATGTTGAAATGTTGTAACTTGCACTACTCTTACCCCCTCCCGTTAGCTCTATGGTAGCCTTGAAACCAATGACATTTATTCTAGAGTAACTCTGAACTGCAGATCCCTATCAGCCATTGGAGGGGACAAAGCTGATTGGAGCTCCCCATCATCTCTATTCCCAGACAACTGTCACTATTTGGTGTACCTGGTGACTCCCTGAAAAGCACCATTCTCAGGATTTGTCCATTATTCAACAGTCTGAGAGCTCATTCTGTGTAGACAGCCCTACTCACTGCCTGAAGGTACAAGGTAGAAATTCCTGTAGTGCAGTGTCAAATCAAAGGGATGACAGGGAACAATCTTGTCTTGTTTTATCTTACAGGGAATATCTCTAATTTTTCACCTAGGAATACTGTATGCTGTGGATTTCTGGTATATACCGTTCTTAACAAACACCCTTAGATTCTTCTCCATAAATAGTTGCTGCTTTTCATCCCATGTGTTTTCTGCTCTCATTTGGATGAAGGGGAAGGGACTGTCAAAGAACATGTATGAATGACCCATGGACAAGGACAACGGTGTGGGGACTGACTGTGGGAGTGGGGGGTGCGCTCAGTGGAGGAGGGCAAAGACAGAAAAATTGGGACAACTGCAGTAGAATTAAAATGAAAAAGTGAATTTGGAGTTTTAGACAATAAAATCAGCACACTTTATTAACAGAGTAAAGGAGGAAAGTCACGCAATCATCCCAATGAGTGCAGACACAAGGTTTTTAATTTTGGTAATTTTTTTGTTTGTTTTTGTAATGGTATCTCTTTGTCATTTTAATTTTCTTTTCCCTGATAACTAACAAAGATAACATTTGATGTGGTCATTCATATATATGTATTTTCTTTTGTGAAGTATCTGTTCAAATCTTTGACCTTTATTTTATTTGATTGTTTACCTTATTAGAATTGTGTTCTAAGAGTTCTTTATGTATTCTGAATGCAAGTTCTTTGTTAGCTAATAGGAGCTGCAAATATTTTCTCTCAGTCTGTGGCTTATCTTTACATTTTCTTTCTTTCCTTTTTTAAAAGATTTTACTTAACTTTTAGAGAAAAGGGAAGAAAGGGAGAAAGAGGGAGAGAAACACCAGTCAGCTGCCTCTCGCACACCCACAAGTGGGAACCTGATCCACAACCCAGGCATGTGCCCTGACTGGGAATCAAACCCATGCCACACCAGCCAGGGCTACATTTTCTTAATGGTGTCTTATCAGTGTTTATCTTTTATGATTCAGTGTTATTATCATCTAAGAAATCTTTGCTATCTCAGTGCTACAAAGCTTTTCTCCACTGATTCTTCAGAAGATTTATAGTTTAAACCTTATTTTTAAGCCTATGCTCCATATCAAGTTAATTTTTGAATAGCATGTGAGATAAAAGTTGAAGTTCACTTTTTTCCCATACCGGTATCTAGTTTTTCTAACACCAGTTGTTGAAAAGACCATTTTTCCTTCACTGAATTACCATGGTAACTTAGTTGAAAATCAATTTGCCATATATATATATGTACTTCATACACTAACTGCTTACTCCTAATAGAAATATAACTGATTTTTATAAATTGACCTTGTACAGTGGGAGCTTGCTAAATTTACTTTATACATATATACTTCTGGACCCTTTATTGTGTGGCCCAATGTTCTCTATGGCTACTCTTATGCCTATCTTAATTATTATAGTTTTATAATAAGTTTTGAAAGCATGGAGTATAAATACTCAACACTGTACTTTTCCCAAAAATGTTATTCTAGTCCCTTTAAATTTCCATATAAATTTAGAGTCAGCTTGTCTAATTCTTCAAGGCTCTAATGAAATTTTTATTGGAATTGCATTGAATCTATAGAACACTTTACAGAAAATTGTCATCATACTAATATTGTGCCTTCTAATCAATTCATATGGTAAACCTTCCACTTATTTAAGTATTCTTCAGTTTCAGGATTGCTTTGGAGTTTTCAATGAAATCTTGAAATATTGTTAAATTTAGCCTAAGTACTTCACGTATTTTGATGTTATTGTAAATGGTTTTATTTTTACTTCATACACTAACTGCTTACTCCTAATAGAAATATAACTGATTTTTATAAATTGACCTTGTACAGTGGGAGCTTGCTAAATTTACTTGTTTTATAAAATTCATATGATTTTGAAGTATAAGAACATGTCATGTGTAAAGTTTCTTTTGGGGGCCTGGGGACGGGGACAGAGTAGGTTACAAAAAGGCATAAAAGAACTTTCTGGGGTGATGGTTCCATACCCTGGTTGTGGTAAGATTACACGACTGTGCATATTTGTCAAAATTCATAGAACTATACACCTAAAAAAGTGAATTTTATTCAGTGTAAATTATACCTCAATAAACTTCCAAAAGAAAAGATAATTTAAAACAATGATACTCAAACTGCTCTATAACAACAATTGTTCTCTCCACAGGTTCTGGTACATTTACTCAATGCTTTACGGTTTCCTATTAAAGCTATCTAAACCTAAAGCACAGAAAACTTCCACGATTTTATGAGATAGTCACAATTACACAGTACCATATATATCAACTATATTTTGCTATTCCATTTCCATCCCTTCTTTTAGGGAAAAATGCACCTCTTAGTAAATATTCATAATAAGGTTAATGTTATTTAATTAACATGTCTGATGAAAACTTCTGATTAATAGAAATATTAATAGAAAATTCTGTACTAAATTCTTAAAAAATTAACACAATGTGGAAAGACATTTGAAAAGAACAGTATCTAGAAGAGAACACTCAAGGCCTTTTTACCGGTGTATCTGGATCTGAAGGACTCGATGTAGCAGGCAGCATCATTCTCTTTAATGCCCATCTGCTCTCCCAAAGATTTTGCTCCCATTCCATAAATGATTCCATAGCAAATCTGAAAGGGAGCCATCACATTCAGTAAGTAAATTAAAGATCATAAGTACATAAAATACAAGTATAAAAAGTTCATTAAGATTGAAATTTGGTAAGCTTTCCGTTTCATAGTGAGTCAAAGAAATGATTAAATCTGCTCTTATGGGATTAGAACCATAAAGATGATATCCAGTGAACATCTTTTCTACCTTTTAGAATACATTTTTAAAAGGGAAAGAAAGGGAGGGTAGAAACAAATATGAATGAATATGAATGTTGTGTGCTTTAAGAAAGTAATCCTAGTGATTTGAAAGGAAAGATTTATTTCTGACTCTTTGTCATTTATCCAGCAGTCTTCAGAGAGGCTTTCTGCTGCTCACAACTCCTCATAACATCATTAACTTCTGTTTAAAAATTGCCTCAGAGTAGGAAAGAAAAGCTACAAATATTCCTCTCCTAACCTGTAGAGAACACTAAAAGAGCTTGATAAGGGGTAGGTTTGTTACAAATAAATATCCACTTCACCTCAGAGCCACCTGAAATCCTGTAACTGCAGAGTTCATTTGACTTTAATACAAATTCATGAAGTTTTTGGCATAATGAAGGAAAACAGACTAAATAGGTCAACAAAGAAACTCTGATTTAATAATAGATATTATGTGGATTCAAACCCTAGTTCCAACATGCACAACATGTATTATCTCACACAAGCTACCTGAACACTTAGCACCTTGATTCCTTCTTCGGTAAAATGAAGACAGTGACACCTACATCATGGGGCTGTTCGGGTTAAACCGGTTATTGTTGTAAGTTTTCAGGAAACTGCACGATATAAAGCAAGTTCTATATAAATGTTGTTAAATAAAATTTAAGAGGGTAATTTGCAAAAAAATAATTATCAGAATTCTAAAACACTTTTAATGTGATGAGACAGCTACAGGTACTTTTTTTCCTTTTTTTCTCTTTTTGAATACATTGAGACCATTATTTTCTTCTTTTTTGTTTTCCCTTTTGATTTTACTATGCTTTATTTTGTTGTGACACTTACTTATTTTTTAACTCAGACATTACTTAGTGCCAGTGAGATCTCAGTAAGACTCAAGGATTATATGGTTCAGTGCATAGTAGTCTAGGGGGAAAATGCTACAGTATAAACACTATTAAATCACACAAGAACTTAATAAATAGAGGCTGCTATCATCAGGGGATAAATGTTCAGGTTACAGAGTCAAAACTTCTACATCCTGGCATTATGAACTTATCCTGGCTCTACCACTTACAGCTATAAGAGCTTAAGCAAATTACTGACTTTCTGTGCCTCAGTTTCCTCCTGTATAAAATGAGGATGATAATAATAATAACACCTATTTTGTGGGTTTATTATGAGGATTAAATATGAGAATATTACCTACTTTATCTAGGATTTGGTTCTTGCTAAACACAGGACCCCAAAGGAGATTAAATATTCAGACAAGACAAAGCTGGCTTTCTGAATCATGGAAGAAACAATTGTCGGAGCCAAACAGTGATGAGAAAAAGTGTTTCTGCCTAATGAGCCAGTCAAGAAATGCAGCTGTAACTAAGTAAAGGTAAAACTAAGATCTTGTAAAACTAAGATCTTGTAAAACTAAGATCTTGTAAAACTAAGATCTTGTAAAACAAGATCTTAGAGGCAGGAGTGGTGTGCCTTTACCTCAGCCACCAATATTACTTTGTTGAAAATGGCATTAGATTTCCCACAGGTCATGTGGCAAAGAAGTATCAGTGTTAATTGAGGACAGAAATGGTATAAATGTGGCCTTTGATGTCTTCTGTGACTGACAGTCACTCAGGAGGAGAAATTAATGTGGACCCACTTGAAAGGTCCAAGAACAATATGAAGTTTCACAGCCAGATTAGCTAACCAGTGGCCTGAAAAAACTAAAAAGCTATCAGTTACAATCTACAGCTCAGCACTATTTGTTTATCAACAAACATTTAGAGAGTACCTTTTTATAAAAAGCACTGTGGCTCAATGCTGTGTGAAAATAGAAAGATGAAAATACAGATGCTTACAGACTGGAAAGAGATTTTTAAATGCACACAAACACACAATGACAGCCTCCGCCACCACCATGTCTACCACAAACGCATGTGGCCTCTCAGACCCTAACTGCCTCAAAGTCTTATTCTTTTCATTGACTCTATGGAGACACAATAAATACCATGAGACAGGCTCATAAATGTGGTTTGAAAAATCAAAAAAGAAGAAATCAGTCCTCAACCGCAAATGAAGGAGACAATTTTTCAATTTTTTTAATCATTACAATTCTCCTTTATGTTAAGCACGGTCACTAGACTTACCTGCTTTGCTTGCTGCCTCAGGTCATCCCCAACAGACTCTGGCTCAATCATCTTCCATTCAGCTGCAACACTCCTGAAAACATCAGCTCCAGTGTTTAACACTTGAATGAGACGATTATCGTGGGATAAATGAGCCAAGATCCTCAGTTCAAGTTGAGAGTAATCGGCAGCTAATATTATACCACCTGAAATAAAAATAGTTTTAGAAAAGCTACTACAAAGGAAAATTCAAGTTTTTTTTTTAATTAATTTATTTATTTTTTTAATCATTGTTCAAATGCAGTTTTCTCCTTTTTACTCCCAATCCATTCCCCCCGAAATTTCAAGTTTTATATAATTAAGCAGGATGACAGAAATTCAGTTCTAACATAGAACTATGAGATCATGTATCTAAAAGTTAAAACCTTGCTCTTAATATGATGCAGTTCAGTTCTGTAACTTATATCATTTTTTTCATTTAGCTTTCAAGTATGCATAATATGTGTAAAGTCACCCTGACCTCTGCTCCTTAACCACTGTAGCAGTGCCTCCCTCAGCGTTTCCAAAGCACCTGACAATCTAAAATGTTTCTTCCATGCCTCTCCCACACTGTTAGGGATGGGAGATTTAATTTTCCTTTGCATTCTATAGAAAACTTTGCACAATTCCTGGCACATGATAGGATCTTAAATGGTTATTAAATAAATGAATGAACATACAATGAAAAACTGGTTTCCAATGTGTGCACATTTTACATGGGCTGGAGAGAAACATGAGCTATACTTTGATCATAACAAAGATACTCGTCCGCGGCTCAGTTAATTATAGTGTATTCCCATGAACCAGAAGGTCACGGATTCGATTTTTAGTCAGGGCATATGCCCAGGTTGTGGGTTTGATCCCAAGTCCAGGCAGTTTGAGAAAGTAACCAATAGATATTCCTCTTTCTCTCTCTCTCCTGCCCCTTCCTTTCTACTCTTTCAAAAAGCAATGAAAAACAATGTCCTCAGCCAAGGATAAAATAATAATCAAGTAGTTGATATGTGAAGGAAAGTTTTTAAGATGATTCAGATAATTTATCTATGGATTAAAAATGACTGCATTAGATATGTATGGCAAAGTCAGAATAAAAAAAAATAAGCAGGTTTAAAGAAAAAGCAGGAAAATATTTGCAACTATTACCAAAAACTCATTGTCATATGATTTAAAAGGTGCAACAAATCAAGAACAAGACAAAACAAACAAGTAGTACATGAAAATAATAAAAATAAAAGAAACTGACACTTCTAGTCAAGATGGCAGTATAGGCAGACATGGCTCACCTCTTTGCACAACCACAACAAAATTACAACTAAGATATAGAACAACTATTGCTCAAAACTGACAGAAATTGACCTGAATGGAAGTCTGACAACAACAGAATTAAAGGAACCATCCGGACTGGTAGGATGGGTGCAGATGCAGAACTGGCTGGTCCCACATCCACAGGTGCTGGATCAAAATTCAGGAGGGACAGCTCTGGAGGAAGGAGTCCCACACCCATACCAGGCCCCCCAGTCCAGGGTTCCAACGCAAGGCAGGTAAGTCCCCACAACTTGTGGCTGCAAAAAACTGCAGGGATTGAGCTGGTGGAAGAAACTTCTGCAGCCCCAAGCAGTTTGTCTTAAAGAACCCACACAGGGACTCACCTACTCAGACTCACTCCCTCTGGGCCCTGGCACCGGGGTGGCAGCTTGAGGGGCACCAGTGTCATCCATGGGGAGGCTGAGATATCTGGCATCCAGGTGAGCATAGGCTATCGTCCCTTTTCCAAAGCCTCCTCCCACAGAGCCAGAAGATTGGCTCCATAGATAAGACTCCATCAATCTGGCTAACACTGTTTGACCCACCTTGGAGATTCCCAGAGACTCTGCCCCACCCAACTTATGGGACCACCCAAGCTGCTTTTCCATATGAATAGCTGGTCTTGGCTCATGCTGTACAACTTCCTAAATCCTCTCAAACAAGTAGCAGCTGGCCTCAGTGAGCCCCAGGACTGGCACTAGCAGCAGCCAGCACAGATTCACATCTTGGCTTCACCTGGGAATCTCCGAGCCCTGCACAAGTAGCAACCAATTCAGATTGCTTTATAACTCAGGAAAGGTGTCCCCAGGCAAAACACAGGTGGGGGCTGATCTTAGCCTGTAACACTCAGGAAACCCCAGGGCCAGTGCACCCAGTGGACAGCTACAGACCACGCTGGAGCACCACCACCCTGCCTTGGCACAGGTGATCCTCCACAGAGGATGGAGGTTGGTGCTAAGTGGTGACAGACATTCCTTGCAGCTGACTGGCCTGGGTAAACACCTCCCACTGATCTGCCAACAGCAACCAAAATGAACTTCAAAAGGAGGGTGTATTCAGCCCACACAAAGGGCACACATCAAGCACCCAGCCTCAATGACAGGGGAGGCTGTACCCTTGGACCCTACAGGACACCTACTACATGAGGCCACACTACCAGGACACCGAGTCAAAACAGCTCTAGCTAATACATGGAAACAAACACAGGGAGGCTGCCAAAATGAGGAGATGGAACATGGCCCAAATGAAAGAACAGATCAAAACTCCAGAAAAAGAGCTAAACAAAATGGAGATAAGCAATGTATCAGATGCAGATTTCAAAACGCTGGTTATTAGGGTACTCAAGGAACTCAGTAAGGACCTCGGCAGCATAAAAAATGCCCAGTCAGAAATGAAGGATACACTAACTGAAATAAAGAACAATTTACAGGGAAACAACAGTAGAGTGGATAAAGTGGAGAATCACATCAATGATTTGGAACATACGGAAGCAAAAAACAACCAATCAAAACAATAAGAAGAAAAAAGAATCCAAAAAAATGAAGATAATGTACAGAGCCTGTTGGACAACTGTAAGCAATCCAACATTCACGTCATAGAGGTGGCTGGAGAAGAGAAAGAGCAAGAAATTGGAAATCTATTTGACAAAATAATGAAAGAAAACTTCCCTAATTTGTTGAAGGAAATAGACATGCAAGTGCAGGAAGCACAAAGAGTCCCTAACAAGATGGACGCAAAGAGGACCCCTCCAAGCACATCATAATTAAAATACCAAAGGTTAAAGATGAAGAGATGGGAGGGACATGTGGGTGAGAGGTGAGGGGCTTAAGAAGTACAAATAGGTAGTTACAGAATAGCCATGGGATGTAAAATGCAGTATAAGAAATGAAGTAGCCAAAGAAATTATACCCATGATCTGTGGACATGAACAAGAATAAGGAGATTGTCTGAGGGAGTGGGGGGGCCTGGGTGGAGGGGGACAAGAGGAGAAAACTCAGGACAACTGTAATAGAATAGTCAATAAAATATAATTTAAAAAAGAATGAAAGAAACTTAAACATACTAAAGAATGCTCAATTTCACTCACAAAAACAGAAATGCAAGTTAAGTCTATAGCAACAAAACAATTTTCTTATATTACAAAAATCCAGAAGTAGGAGAACATACTTTGTGACAAAGCTGAGAAAGAAATACACATACACTGTTATTAGGAAGTAAATGGTAACTGTCCCCCATTAGATGGCAATTTGACAATAACTATCAAAACTGCACAGGCTTTTCCTCTGTGACTCAGCAAACAAGGCCACAGATTGCTATACAGATTACCTGCACATAGACCAAACTGCTTTATGTATAAATTTCTTTACTGATGATCCCAAAACTCTAGTATAAAAATATTAAATGAAAAAGTAAGGCATATAACAGGATATATGGAAAGTGTAACGGGTATTCTTTGTGTAAAATTAGGAGAAGAAAATATTACATATTCATATTTGTTTATATCCACATAAAAACACTGAAAATATATATAAGAAACTCATAAACACAGTTATCTATAAAAGTTACAGATAACAGCACAGCTAGGACAGGGAATAAGGCAAAGCTTATCAGCATATACCTTTTATCTATTTTGATTTCTGAACTATGTAAATAAATAACCAATTCAAAATATGTAAATACTAATTTTAAAAAAATGACCACTAAAAGACAAATACCATAAGATCATATGATCTCATTTACAGGTGGAATATAATGAACAAAATAAACGGACAAACAAAAAGGCATACATGAAACAGACTGACAGCTGTCAGAGAGGAGAGGAGAGGAGAGGAGAGATAGGGTACAGGGAGAAAGAAGGTGAAGGAATTAGCCAAAAAATATAAACACAAAGCACATAGACATAGTCGGCAGTGTGGTGATAGCCAGAGGGAAAAGGGGGTGGGGACTACGTGGAGGTGGGCAGGGGAGGGGGCGGGGAAGGGCACACGATGCAATGTGCAGATACATTTTATTGAGGGGTATGCTTGAAACCTGTACGGTTTGTGAACCAATGTCACCCCAATAAATTCAATAAAAAACAAATGAATAAATGAAAGGTAAGCAGATGTGATATCATAAAAGACATAACCTGGAAAAAAATAAAATGAAACAGATGACCACAACTTTAATGGCCTTCCTGCCACAAACATGGTAAAACTGGACAAAATACATGAAATAACTGTTTTGAGGTGTTGGACAACAGGCAATTCAGGACTGTGATCCTTGAGAAGTGGGGGGATAGAGAAGATGGGGCGAGTCAGGCACCTGTCTCATGTGTCTGAACGGAGGCACTTTCCAGGACGCATTGCAGGGAGGAGATGAAACAGCACTATGGTCTGTCTGAGCTGAGGAAGTGGAAACTGGAGTTTGGGCCCACTGACGCAGCTCAGGATTTGTGAAAATTGGGACAGAAACTGTACATAAAGGGGACACCAGAAATATGCACAGTAATCTCTCTGGATTTTTTGCCTGTGCAAGGAACAGGCAAAAAAACAGACACTAAAGAAGTAACTATTGCCGAAGAAAGAACCACCAAAGCATAGCTGTCAGCTGAACAGCTACTTGAACAACATGCTCTTGAATGTTGAGAAATGTCTAAGTCCTGATCAAACTGAGTGGAGAGACCTCGCTAACCAACTTGAGCATCAAGACCACAGAGAGACCAGGCCTTACAGTCAAAGCTAACCTGGCCCTGGTAAAGGCAACCAGTGTGGCAATCATTATGTCCAGCATTCAATAAAAAAAAATACTATTCATGTGCAGAACCAGGAAAATGTAACTTTGACCAGAAGAATATTCAATCAACAGAGAAATGGCCCAGGAATTAGAGATGATGAAATTTTAAGTAGCTAACATAGATATGTTCAGAAATTTAAAGAAATATGAAGATAATGATGTAACAAGTGAATTGCCATAAAGTAATTAAAACTACACACAAAAAAATCAAATGAAAATTCTAAAACTAAAAGTACAATATCTGAAATGTAAAATTCACTAAAAGGATGAGACAGCAATGAGACACTGAAGGCGAAAAGATCTGTGAATATCGAAACGGTCAAGAGAAAATACCCATTGCAGCACAGAGTGGAAAACACTGGGAAAAGGGAATAAAAAAGAAAAGGAAAAGCTTCAGTGATATGTGGGACAATACCAAGTGGTATTACCTATGTATTGATATATTTGGAATAATAGGAAGAAAGATAGGAACAAAGAATATTACAAGAAATAATGGTTGAAAACACTCCAAATTTAATAAAATATGAGCATATAGATTAAAAAAAAACTACACAAACTCAAGACAGTCAGCAAATTCAAAAATCCCAGAAGCAAAGTATGAAAAACTACCCAGAGATTCACAGCCAAATCAAATTGCTGAAACTAAATAACAAATAAAAATATCAAAGCATCCAGGAAACAGTACCTTGTGCTTGGAGGAATAGCAAGAAAAAATGGTGGTGTACTTCTCAACAGAAATAATGCAAACCAGAAGCTAATAGGAAAATATTCTTAAAGAGTTTAAAGAACACATGGACAAAAACAAAAGGGGGGGGGTGGAAACAGGGGAGGGAGGTGGGGATGGCTGGGGTAGTAGGGAGGAGTGGGGGAAAAAGGCAGAAAACTGTACTTAACAACAATAAAATTCAAAAGTATTTAATTTAAAAAAAAGTTGAAAGAGAAGGACTATCAACCTATAAATCTATGTCATGTAACAATATCTTTTGAAAGTGAGATGAAATAAAATGTAGAGATATAGAAATGCTTAGGGAAATCATTGTCAGTAGAACTGCATTACAAGAAATATTAAAGGAAGTGTTTTTGGGTGAAGAAAAATGATAATAGATGAAAACTTGAATCTACTCCAAGAAACAAAGAGTGTCAGAAAAGATAAAAAGTGGACAGACAGAAAAGAAACACTTCTTTGTTTCTTGATTTCTTTGTAAGATAAGACTGCTTAAGATAAAAACTATATAGCAGAGTTCATAACAGTCATAAAGATTAAATCAATTACAAGACAAGGGAAATGAAAAAAACTCTTTACATTATAGATGAAATGGTATGAAATTATTTGAAGATGGGCTGTGATGCATATTATAAACTCTAAAATATCTATGACATATAGTTAATAAGCAGAGAAAATAAAACAGAATAAAATAGTCATTTAAAGTTTTAAAAAAGAGTAAAAAACAGAAATAAAATACAAATAATAAGATAGCAGACTATAATCAAACCACATATCAATAATAACTTTAGATATAAATAAACTAAACACTACACTTAAGTGGCAGAAATTTCCATACTTAACCCATATACATTTAATTTAAATTAATTTTAAAATTTTAACCTGAAGCAACATAAGATATTGTTACATTAAACAATCTTATTATTTTGGTAAGAATAAATTGACGGATGAACAAATAAATAAAATGAAATGTATACATACAATGAAATATTATTCAGCCTTAAAAAGAAAAGAAATTCCAACACCTGCTACAACATAGTTGAACCTTGACGACATCATGCTGAGTGCAATCAGCCAGGTGCACAGGACAAATACAGTGTGATTGCTCTTACATGAGGGACTAGCATAGTCAGATTCATAGAGACAGAGAGTAGAACTGTGGTTACCAGGGGCTGGGGAGTGGGGGAGGGAGAGTTAGCATTTAACGGGTACAGAGTTGCACTAGGGGAAGATGGAGGTGAGTGTGGTAATGGATGCACAACAAAGCAAATGGACTTACTGCCACAGAACTGAATACTTAAACATGGTTACAATAGTAACATGCTGATAGTTCATACTTAAAAAGCAAAACTGAAATTTGCCAAGCAGGTTATGCTATCAGAGGCCCAAATTCACCGTTAGAATATATGTTTCTGACATAACTCACATAAATTCAGGTAGTTAACTGCACTCACCCAGACCTGCCAACATAAAAGAACAAACATGTACTAACAGGTGGGATTATTTGGAAATTAGATCATGACTTCCAAATGTTTAGATGACAAAAAAAAAAAAAAGACAGTGTGTCCTTACTGGTGAAGGGAGGAGAGAAACTGAGGAAATTAAAGATTGGTTAACAATGACAAATGCCACACAGAAGTCAAAGAGGACAAGAACCTAAAATATCCATTGGATTTTCCAAAAAATGGTTACAATCACCTTGGAAAACGTGGCTTCAGCAGACCATTGCCAATGAGCATACACCCCAGAAATTTCCCACAGAACAGATCATGAAGACAATGATGACCGACTGTTACAAACCTGGCAACACAAAGGGAAACAACAAGCTACACAGAAGAGAGGAAAGATGGAGGGACAATGCATACTCTCAAGCCTTATTCATAATGCAGGTTTTGTCAGTACTTTGAAAAATATTCCCACCTCAATGAGAAGCTCACAAACCATCAGCACCCTACCTGGGAAAGGCACGAAGGCCTGCCGCATGCTGACCGAAAATGGCACTCCTCTGTCTGGGGTTCTCTCCTCCATCTGTGCCTGGTGCCCAGGGGTCAGGCCACAGCCCCTCTTATTTCCTTCTCTGTCATGCAAACAACATTATCAGCAGGATATGAAGCATTCTCAAATATGTGAAAAAGGCCTGATTTTTCAGTAAACTTAGTATTTCTGTTTAGGAAACTTAAAAACCTTATTATTTGAAACTCACTTTAAAGCTTAACAAAGATTCTATACTTTTTTTAGCAAACATTCAATTAAATAGGAAGTAAAACATTTTTTCTTTTTAAAAAATGCTTAATATGTGCTAGCTATTGTTTACTATTGTTCAGTTACAGAGGTCTCTGTTTTTTCCCCATTACTCAGCCCTGCCCTACCCACCCCCCACCTCTCACATTCCACCCTTCCCCCACCGTAGCATTTCTGTAAAAGCCTTTCCCACAAACTGCTTCTGAGATAATTCACTGGCATTTAGCTCAACAAGTCTCTTTGACCAAATCTAATATAAATCATATGTGCATTTTCTTCCCTTTGTGTGTAAGTGAAGAAGGCAGGAGGGGGACGTTCCGGACATCGTTAAACTCTTCCCTTTAGTACTTGGCTGAAATAAACATGTGACGGTTGATTTGATTAGTGGCCCAGGTTTTCAGCCTTTCACCACCCACTAGCTTCTTTACAGACAAACTCAGGGTTTGAAAATAGTGCCTAGAATAGAAACGTGTCTACCTAAAACAAATTTAAACTATTTTCATTATTTTGTCCAATAAGCTATTTTTGAGCCATCTGTGCTCACAGAAGTATTTTAACCCGAGTACAAAGAAATAATATCTACCTGCCCGTGGGAAGTAGGCCTTTGCCTTGGGCTTGCAAAGGTGGGCTTTCTCCTACTAGTGTTGGCATTTGGATCTCAAAATCTCTTGGCACACTCTGAATATTTGGTTCTGTAAAGGTTATTCGTCCTAAAATCAAACAGAAAAAAAGATAAAATTAGGGGGAAAATTTTGACATTTATCTTAATAGTAATGGCATTTCTGAATCATCTTAAAAACACATGTTCTATTATTACTAACATAAAATAAATTTATATTTAAATATTTTTCATCATGTTCATGTGTCTAACAATGAAAAAATAAGTACAAGAACAATCCCAATGTAAGTGAATATAGGAATCAGCTACAATACATTTTACATTAACCTAGCTCTCTAGAAAACAGGCTCATGATACAAAGTAATTTGATAAAGAATCAGATATTAGCACTATAAAATGTTAGCAGTTGTATTAATAAGTAAAGACTAATCAAATGGATCCTATGTAAAGTGAGTGCTGGAGCCTTTAAAACCAGGAATGCACAAGGGAAAGGGAAGAGGGTCCGGAGCAGAAGAGCGACCTGAGTGCTGAAGAGGGGCAACTGGCCAGAGGAGCTGGCTGACGCAGGAGGTGGTGGCAGGGCGAGGTGGAATGTCACTTTCCAGACATTACCTGGCCAGTTTTCTTCTTTATCATCATCGCTCATCAAGAGAATCAACGCTAACAAGGGCATAGCTAAAGACTAGAATTAGGTGGTTAATAATTTTCTAGGAAACAGAAAGCTATTTGTTTAAATGCTTATAGAATTTATTTTCCCAAAAATATTCTATATTTTATTTGTTTACTTACTGGTTGAATTTTTCTAGAACACCTAGCATTGTTCAAAAAAGTTTAGGCAATTCACTTTGTTTTTTGAAATTTTTATATTATACATAGTAATACATTTTATGATACATTATTGTAACAGGCTCTCTACGAGCTACTATATATAATTCCATCTTTTAATGAATCAGACATTTTAACTACCTAGAATATTATTTCTGCATAAACCTGTGATATTATGCCCTTGTTATTCAGCTATAAGGCAGGACTTCCAGTCAAGATGGCAGTATAGGCAGACATGGCTCACCTCTTCGCACAACCACAACAAAATTACAACTAAGATATAGAACAACTATTGCTCAAAACTGAGAGAAATTGAGCTGAATGGAAGTCTGACAACCACAGAACTAAAGGAACCATCCAGACTGGTAGGAGGGATGCAGATGCAGAACAAGCTGGTCCCACCCCCACGTGTGGTGGATAAAAGTTCAGGAGGGATATTTCAGGAGTAAGGTGTCTCACCCCCACACCAGACCCTCCAGCCCAGGGTTCCAGTATCAGAGAGATAAATCCCCACAACTTCTGGCTATAAAAAACAGTGGGGACTAAGTCAGTGGAACAAACCCCTGGAGCCCCAAGCAGTTCCTTTTGAAGAACCCACACAGGGACTCACCTACACAAAAAACCACTCCCTCTGAGCTCCAGCACAGGTGTAGCAGCTTGAAAGGCACCAGTGGCATACAGTGAGGAACTGAAGTGTCTGGCATCAAGGTGAGCATAGGCCATTTCCCCTTTTCTAAATACTCCCCCCACAGAGCCACGCAACTAGCAAGCTGGTACCATATTTAAGACTCCATCAATCTGGCTAATACTGTTTGACCCACCTTGGAGATCCCCAGAGACTCTACCCCACCCAACTTATGGGACCACCCAAGCTGCTTTTCCATATGAATAGCTGGTCTTGGCTCATGCTGTACAACTTCCTAAATCCTCTCAAACAAGTAGCAGCTGGCCTCAGTGAGCCCCAGGACTGGCACTAGCAGCAGCCAGCACAGATTCACATCTTGGCTTCACCTGGGAATCTCCGAGCCCTGCACAAGTAGCAACCAATTCAGATTGCTTTATAACTCAGGAAAGGTGTCCCCAGGCAAAACACAGGTGGGGGCTGATCTTAGCCTGTAACACTCAGGAAACCCCAGGGCCAGTGCACCCAGTGGACAGCTACAGACCACGCTGGAGCACCACCACCCTGCCTTGGCACAGGTGATCCTCCACAGAGGATGGAGGTTGGTGCTAAGTGGTGACAGACATTCCTTGCAGCTGACTGGCCTGGGTAAACACCTCCCACTGATCTGCCAACAGCAACCAAAATGAACTTCAAAAGGAGGGTGTATTCAGCCCACACAAAGGGCACACATCAAGCACCCAGCCTCAATGACAGGGGAGGCTGTACCCTTGGACCCTACAGGACACCTACTACATGAGGCCACACTACCAGGACACCGAGTCAAAACAGCTCTAGCTAATACATGGAAACAAACACAGGGAGGCTGCCAAAATGAGGAGATGGAACATGGCCCAAATGAAAGAACAGATCAAAACTCCAGAAAAAGAGCTAAACAAAATGGAGATAAGCAATGTATCAGATGCAGATTTCAAAACGCTGGTTATTAGGGTACTCAAGGAACTCAGTAAGGACCTCGGCAGCATAAAAAATGCCCAGTCAGAAATGAAGGATACACTAACTGAAATAAAGAACAATTTACAGGGAAACAACAGTAGAGTGGATAAAGTGGAGAATCACATCAATGATTTGGAACATACGGAAGCAAAAAACAACCAATCAAAACAATAAGAAGAAAAAAGAATCCAAAAAAATGAAGATAATGTACAGAGCCTGTTGGACAACTGTAAGCAATCCAACATTCACGTCATAGAGGTGGCTGGAGAAGAGAAAGAGCAAGAAATTGGAAATCTATTTGACAAAATAATGAAAGAAAACTTCCCTAATTTGTTGAAGGAAATAGACATGCAAGTCCAAGAAGCACAGAGAATTCCAAGGAAGATGGATGCAAAGAGGCCCACTCCAAGACATATCATAGTTAAAATATCAAAGGTTAAAGATAAAGAGAGAATCTTAAAAGCAGCAAGAGAAAAGCAGTTACCTACAGGGGAGTTCCCGTAAGACTGTCAGCTGATTTCTCAAAAGAAACTTTGCAGGCTAGAAAGGATTGGCAAGAAATATTCAAAGTCATGAAAAGCAGGGACCTACTGCCAAGACTGCTCGATGTATCTCAATTTCTCTCCCATTTCTCTCCCTCTGTTTCTCCCTCCCTTCCCCTCTCTCTAAAAGTAAATAAATAAAATATTTTTGGAAGAATAAATAAATAAATAAATGACAACATGAATGTAGCATCATGGAACTGAATTCTAATAATGAAATGGTTTTGCTATACTTGGGGAAACTTCTATTTCCAAAATAGTCTTTAAATGTAGGTACAGTATGATATAAACCAATCAGGAAAAAAAGGAATTGATTACTTTCTGCATTATAAGCAACAAATAAATGCAACACCTTTGAAACTCTAGGTTGACTTGTTTTTTTCACCAATAAGGATTTATTTTTATAAGTTTACAGCAATGAAACCAAAATAGCAACAGGGCAAGAAATGGCTAGGAAGGACTCAAAGGTTAGCTAAGTAGAGAAGAAGGAAAAGAGAAGGTGTTGAGAACAAGGAATGAGCAAGCAGAGGAAAAAGCAGCTCCTCGTGCTGCCTCCATCCATGCACTGCTCTAAACACTGACATGTATTATTAAATCCTCAAAATGGACTTCTGGTGGCACCATGGTGGCTAATGCCTCCACTATCCAGTCACAGCTGCTGCCTCTAGTGAAACCACACGGGAAGGGAGAAGGATTACTAAATTAGGCCGGATTTTCCTAAATGCAAATAACATAACAATACTGGCTCCTGGAGGAGAAGGACCTGAAGTATGAATGGATTTGCTTGACTTATGCTAGATTCTGCTTTGTCTTATACTGACAACAAAAGTTTTATTTTTTTTTAAACCTTTCAATGTCTGGAGTCTTTGAAGCTCAGTTTCCCATTAAGGGAGAATGCTTTGAAGAGGGATTGTAAATACTAGTTTCATAAATCAATCATGTTTACCTTCGTTGGGGGGTGGGGGACAGTTTGTTCTCTGAAGACCAAAATTAAAGTATGTTTGGTTAAAAAATAAATAAATAAATAAATAAAATCCTCAGGATGGTCTGGTGAGGTAGAACTATTATGACCCTGTTTTATCATGAGGAAACTTAGGCACTGAAAGGTTAAATACTTTAAAGATTCACAGCACCAGAATTCAAAACTTACAAAAATCTGATACCATCAATCTAAAATGCCTTCCCTATGAAAGGCTTAACACTGCTCTGACTTCCAATGCACACTGCATTTGGCAAATATTTAGAGTTTTGTACTGCCTAGAGAAGTAAGACATTTTCCCCTCACCATATGATACTCACATCTACGCCCAGAGGGCCATGAGACACCCAAAGGGCTCACAGCTCTCTGTTCTAATAGAATAAATAAGCTGTTCACTTATTCTACAAAAGCCCCACATATGTCTACTTAAATTCGACTTGGAGAGAATCTTAAGACATTCAGGAGATGGGGATAATTAAAATTAGATTAAGATCACTGACTCAAATAGTTAATTCCTAGATATATTCTCATCCAAAGCACAGATTCAGACATCCTATTACTCTACACAATATCTGAAAGCAGAAACTATTTTTCATTAAATCTCATCTCTGTATTTAGTTAGTATCCATCTATACTTTGGATATAGTGTGTGTTTTATAAACATTTACAAAATTTTGTTGAACCCAAAGATCAACACTCGAATTCCTTGGTGATCATAAAAAATATATGTAAATGAACAATTTTTTCTTTCAGAATTGGATATTATGCATATTTAAAATCTCTCCTTACCTGTAGCGGTGTGTGACTGTGATACAGGGTAGATTCTTTCCATGCCAAAAACAAGATGCAGCTGCCTTTCCCGCTGCAGGGGAAAGATCACTTTGGTGATAGTGTTAGTGATTCTTCTCCACTCTAATATCAAGCCTGGTAAAGGATGTAATGCCTTTAACTTATTTAAAACATCCTGACAAAGAAACACAATAAAGTAAGATCAGATTCTTATCCAAATTCCATAGCAAACTAGAATCTCTTTTAGGTAAATAATATAGTCTCAAAATTAAACTTGCTAACTCCTGTATTTACAACTCAAACTTCCTGTTTGGACTTTATAGAAATCACCATAATGCTAAAACTCTGATAATTATGGATTATTAAAATCAAACATGTTTATGCTAAGCAACATCAATTTAGATCTACCTTTAAAAAATTAATAAGATGTCAACTTAGCAAAGTAACTGCCTCTCCACACTCCAAGAGTTTATATCATCTCTCTTTATATTTTCCTCCTCCATTCCTCACATAATTGTAAATTTCACTTTTTTTCATTTTTTGCCCTAACACTTTCATGGTTCTGTGTCAAAAGAAAATGAGAAGACATTTATCTTTAACACTTTGAATTTTCCAAGCTACAGACTTTCAATGAATGTTTCAGGAATAAAAACTTGTGAGGTGAAAGGGCCAGTGAGGTCAAATAAAGTGTTACAGAATGGAGTGGAAATGTCCCCAGGTCAGGCAAGTGAGAGTGAATGATACTGGGGCGAAATTCTGCAGGATGGTAACCTGTCTCACTGTGGCTATACGCTCTACCCTTGTTTTTCCACTGAAAATCCATTCCGTAAAAATGTAAAATGAGCCCTTTTACTCTTCTCTCCCATTCATCCAGTTTCCATGGATTGTGACTAGCAATTTCAGTTTGAAATCAGTAGGTTAGATTCTTAAAAGAAACTCATGTAAAACTTACTATTTTGCCCTGGAATTGAAAAAAAAAACAGTGTTTCATTTGTATTGGCTTGGGTTTTATTTTTCTTTTAAAAAATTCTTCCATACCTTTCTTCATGTTCATATAACTATACAAAGTATATTATACTGGAAGTCTAAACTTAGTGGATGTCGATAATTAAATAATGTCTACAGGTCTGATTTTACAAACCATTACACTGTTTTAATGATAGGGAGGGCACAACTGCTGAGTCAGATTACGGTCCAGATTTCCTGTGCTGAGGTATTGCCACATTTACTGTGGGCAGCCAAACCACAAACCAATTTGTTCTCATGTAGGTAAGTGCAAATGGTGGGCTATGTTGGATCTGGATTTCATCAACATTCTTTGAAAACACCAAAATGCTAAAAGTAGTTCAGACTCTGCCCCGTGACTGCCCCAAAGAGCACCTTACTAGTGCTGAACAGTTTTCCCAGCCTTAGCTTGCGTCCATTGTCATTCCCTCTTCTGGTAGAAGCCCAAATTTTCTTGCCGCCTTGGTTTTCTATCTCTCCATTTGGTGGCAACTTCAATTCCAAAAATAAAACCTATAAGAAATTACAGCTTCATTAGTCAAGAATCAAATCTCAAGTATTGTCATTCAGAAAACATTTTTAAAGTTATTTGGAAAAACAACCTATATAGTTCAAGTTGGGTTGGAAGAATTTTTTTGGAAAGTTTTGAATTACCACAGTTAAAAAATAATGGCAATAAAAACGTATATGTCCATAAGCTGGACATGTAACTTAAGCTATCCATATGCTAACTCAGGTACTGACAGATTAATACTAGTACTGGGCTTTCTAACAGTCAGCGACACAGGAAAGTACACTCTGTGCTGAACAACTGACAAATAAGCTGTTGAGACTGCAGGGTGCTCTGATGGTTATGAACTCTCCTAAGCACCACTTGCTCTGGTCAACGGTATGGCTACTCAATCATTTCAGCCCCATAGAGTCAACATGGGAGACTTCGTGGCTGTTGTGATCATGAAAATCAGAGAACACTAAGTAGGATGGGGTCCAAAAAGCCATCTAATTCTACTACCATAAGGCTGGACCCTGACAGTCCCTGGGCACAAAAAGTCAGGAGAAGTGGCCAAGTCAATGCAGCAGTGAGGGCTAGCATGGCCAAACACACCCACTAAAGCAACGAAGGGCAGGGACCCAGGCTGTGTGGCAGAAGGAGGATCCTCCAGATAAATTACTTCTTCAGGCCTTGATTATATCTATGAAATGGGGGGTTGAACAAGATGAGGGCAAGAGGGACTAATATTTATTGAGCACCTACTACATGCCAGCCATTATGCCAGCTGCTCTAACACGTGCCATTGCATGTAATCTTTACAATTCTGTGACAAATCTGAAAAAGACAGTTGGGAAAACTTGCTCAGCATTACATGTCCAGAATGTAGCAGAATTAAGAATTATCACCCATAGTCACATAACTCTAAAGTCCTTTTTTCTTTTCACTAACCCATGCTTCCCTCTAGACCAGAGGTCAGCAAATTTTTTCTATAACAGGCCACATAACAGATATCTTCGGCTTTTCAAGGTTTACTGTCACAACTTCTCAACTGTGTGATTATAGAATGAAAGCAGACAAACACAGTAAGTAAATAAACATGTGTGGCTGTGTTCTAACAACACTGTATTTGCCGGAACAGATGGCAGCCAGACCTGGCCCTCATGCTACAGTTGCCAAATCCCTGCCCTAGATAAGTGTCATCCCAAAGAACTTTTTGCAATAATGGGAATGTTCTATATTTGTGCTGTTTGACATAGTACCCAGTGTGGCTTTTGAACATTTGAAATGTGGTTAGCCCAAATAAGGAGCTAAATTGATGTTTTATTTAATTTTAATTAATTTCAATTTAAATGGCCACAAGTGGCAGCTAGTAGCTCCTGCATTAGTGCAGCTCTAGATGAGTATGATATCCGGCCTGGTTTGAAGATGCAACTTCAAGTTGGCAAGAATTAAACAATCAATGTGTAAAACTGTGACAGTACCTTAAACATAACATCAGTTTTAATGTGAACACTTAAGAACAAGCTAATAATACCGAAGGCCTTCGGGGTGATTCCAGCTATTCCGAGCTATTCCAGCTCAGCATTCGGTCCAGGCCCAGGGCCCTGACACCTCAGTGCCTGTCTGCGCCACAAGGGCACAGGTTCCTGCCTTTGCTCTGAGCCTACTCGTGCTGAAATTAAGAGGTCCTATATATTTTAAAAGCTCCTTATGTAATTTTATGTGCTTTCAGGTAGGTATTGTACTAGCTTAGGGAGTTCTGGGCTAAAGAACTCAAAAGAAAATATTAAAAATACCCAAAAAAAGTCACCACTGAATTCAATACAAATATACCACATGATTAGAAGAAACAAAGTTCCTCATTTTTTAAAACACATAATTCTGTGGCTTAAAAATGGACATTTTAAAAGATTTTATTTATTTACTTTCAGAGAGAGAGGAAGGGGAGGAGAAAGAGAGGGAGAGAAACATCAGTGTGTGAGAGAGATCGGTTGCCTCTCACACCTTCCCAACCAGGACTCGGCCTGCAACCCAGGCATGTGCCATGACTGGGAATTGAACCAGAGACCTTTCAGTTCACAGGCTGGTGCTCAATCCACTGAGCCACACCAGCCAGGAAAAAAAAAATGGACATTTTCATTATTATATATAACATTTGTTGAGTACTTACTATGAGATGGTCACTATTCTAGTGCTTTACATTTATCATTTATTCCTCAGAATAGTTCTATCAGGTATTTCTATCATAACCCATTTCACTGATGACAAAATTGAGATATAAAGAGTTGATGTATTGGCTCAAAGTCATGGACTGAGTTAATAAGTGAAGAAGGTAGGATTTGAACCCAAGAATTCTGTCTCTAAAGCCTATGATCTGCACCAATATGCTGTATTATTAAGTCACATCTAGAAGACACTGTAACCTCAATGCTATCGAGTATAAGCACTGAGACCTACATTTGTAATTCCTTTAAAACAACCCAACCACCCTTTGTAGAGTCTGGGGAAGGAGAGGATAGAACACCAACCTTTGAAAATAAAAACGAGAATAAGCTATGTCAAAATTTATGTAAGGTGATAAAAGTAGTAATTAAGTTTACTACTTAATAAAGTAGTAGCAGACAGTCACAAAAATCTGTACTTCACTAACACCTGAGAAAAATATCTAATTTTGTACTCTACAACAGGATTTAGGGGCAAGGACGGGAGAAACAGCTGCACTGCTATGCAACTGTCTTTTGTTCAACAAATATTTACTAAGCGCCTCCTCTGTTGCAGGCAAATTTCCTTCTCAGAGAGCATGTGTTCTAGGAGCCTTCTTTACTGCCTTCCTATTTCATAAATACAAGAGATAACAAACTGTATGCTAGAATACTCTACCTCCGAAATATCCTGTGTAACTGAATTTGTTGTTCAGGTAAACACATTTAGGAAATACACACACACAGAACCATTTTTAACTCTAAAAATTACTTCTCTAAATTCTCTGTTCCCGTGATACAACCTCAGCAATGTCATCCGAACTGGTGAAGGAAAAGCTGCGGCCGGCCAGCTGGTAGGCCTGAGTCTCGATGGCGTGCAGCGTGGCTTGCATTACGTGTTTCTGACTTTCACATTCCGCAGCACTAAAGCCGATCCCATTTAGTTCTAGCAAGGCCAAGCAGTACTGACAGGGCATTTCCACTTTGCATAAAACATCTGGAAGAGAAAAAGAAGACTAAAACATTAATTTACCAGTCAGGTGACTAGATCAGCATCATGGTCTAAGCACACACAGAATTCTTGTAGCAAAATGCACAGATGATACCATGGTATTCTTCCCAGCCCAGTCTTCTGAACAGCATCCTCAAACCAACAATGAAAGGCACAAAAGTACTTTCCACTGTTCCACTTAAGCACTAGACTACTTTCTTTGGCTATCCAGAGAACAGAAGAATTGGCAAGCTTGTGAATAGTATAGGTTACTCGAGATCTCTTTTTTCCCAAAATAATGTTTCTGCTACTCTCAGCAAGAGCAAAATAGCCAATCTTACTTGCTAAGCTAACTATAAAGTGTTAATTCCCTGAAACTGGTTCCAATATTCCTGTTCCCATGCTTGCACAAACAACCAAATATGGAGGTTTTACATTTTCTGATGCACTTACCAAAGTAAAGAAAATTCCTGAAATAAGAATCAGACTAGTTTTCTATCTACTAACATTTCTCAACAGATTTGTCATTATAAATCCATTTTCCAGTATGTTCATAGGAATTTTATCTTCAAAGACCCTCTATACAAAGGGTGGAGCTGACACTAAACACTGTGATTTCAGCATTTAGGTACTGCGGTTGGATATTCGTGATGTCTGTTAATATATTAGAGGCTCTGAGAAGACCTGAACTACAGACAATTATTTAATTTTGTATTAACCAAACATCTGAAGTTACTTGACCACAAAACTCTTTCTTGTATTACTTACTAGCATCCTGAATAGTGTCCATAGAATATACTGTGAGAAATACTGTCCTAAATCATTAAGAAAAAAAATCTATACCCAAGCCTTCACTTTCCAGGACCATGGGTCACTAGGACTCTGAGAAGCCCTGACCTGCTGTCCCCCGGCCCCGAGAGGTCTACAAACACATTCTCTGAGGCATTGCTGGTCTCAATCAAAAGGAAGGAGATCTCCAGGGACACCCATAACCACCACCAAAACGAGGGTGAGTGATGGGCCTCTAACAGGAGGAGTAACCACGCATCAGTCTGGCTTTCAAGGCCTCAAGGCCTGATCCAAAGCAGAAATTCATGGGATGTGTGACTAGAAAAGTAAGGAACTGGGGTCAGAATAAGAACAGTCAGAGCAGTACAATATCTGAGTTACAGGGGCCAGACTGGATCCTTAGACGGCAGGGAGCAGGGATTTGTCATAGGAATGAAGTCCAACAGCCAAAAGGTTGAGGGGATACGTGTGTGTGTGTGTGTGTATGCACATAATATATATATATATATATATTTATAATATTCAGAATAGCACCAGGAGGAGAAGCTGATTCTCAGACTCCTGCCCGGAACCGAAGCTCTCAAGGAAGGCAAAAGTAGTCGTTGGACACTGTGTATGTCATTTGGCAACAGTGGGGGCAAGAGGAAAGCCTTTCTACAGGAAAGTTTCCCCAGTTAGGCCGGCAGGGCTCCACTGATCAAGTCTCATTTGAATTCACCGAAAGTGTGAAACTACAAGATGGCAAAGAAATAATGAATGGAATTCAGCAGAAACAAAAGACAGATTCAGACTCTAAGAACTGCAGCTATGAAATCATTAGAACAGTGCACAGGGCACAGTTATGAATGAACTGTTTGCAAAATAAAGAGAGATGAATACAAACTAAGTAAAGAGCAAGAAAACAGTGCAAATACACCAATAATCACAATAAGTTTGTAAATTAAAAAATATGTTAAGTTTGAACTAACAAGCAAAATAGATAAAGACTCATAGATGGAGAACAGATGACAGCTAGTGGTGGCAGGGGGAGGTTAGTGGGTGAGAGATGGAGCAAAAAGGAAAAGGACTCATGGTCATGGACAACAGTGTGGTGATTGCTGGGGGAGGGATGCAAGAGGACTAAATGGTAATGGAAAAACATAATAAACATTAAATTTTTAAGAATTGATAACTTTGGAAAATAAATGAATAAGCCATATTCTGTTTATAAGACATATTTAAAGCATGAGAACTTAGAGGTTTAAAAAAATAAAAAAGACATATGAGGCATATATTAATCAAAAGAAAGTTGATGTTGCCATATTCATTCCAGAAAATAAACTAAAAATAAAAAATGTTAGTGGTAGAGCTGACTAAAACATAAAAATAGGAGGTTCAATTCATCAGGAAGCTAAATCAATTTTAAACATTTATGCATCTAATAAAGAGGTCTCAAATATATAGTAAAAATTGAGTTAACTATAGTAAAATTAGACACAAAAAATTTAAACAACCACCTTGACTTCACATTTACAAAATTCTGCATCCACAGTTAGAATACACACTATTCTTACATACACACAGATCATTTACACCACAGTTCCAGTTTCAGGTCAGAAGGCAACTCAAAAAATTTCAAACAATGGGTATTACACAACCATGTTCTCTCACCACAATTCTATTAAGTTTGAAGGTAATAATAAAAATACAAAATAAAGTTTCCAAATATTCAGGAATTAAAAACCAATCTTCTGAATAATCTATGATTCAGAAAGTATCATAACAAATTATTAAATATTTAGAATAAAATGAGAAAACATTACATGTCAAAACTTGTGAGATAAAATGAAAGTAAAGCTTTAGCCCTGGCCTGTGTAGCTCAGTGGATTGAGCGCGGGCTGCGAACCAGAGTGTCGCAGGTTCGATTCCCAGTCAGGGCACATGCCTGTGTTGCAAGCTATAACCCTCTGCAATTGCACATTGATGTTTCTCTCTCTCTCTTTCTCCCTCCCTTCCCTCTCTAAAAATAAATAAATAAAATCTTTAAAAAAGTAAAGCTTTAAAAGAAATGTATAGCCTTAAATGTTTAAATTAGAAAACAAAAAAATGATTTGAAAGTAATAAACTTAGTGTCAAACTTATGAATTGAGAAAAAGGACTGCAAAATAAAGTCACAAAAAACTAGAAGAAAAAAAACAATATGAATGTTGACAAAAATCAAGAAAATAGAAAACAAAAACAATAGGGAAGATCAAAGGCAAAAATGGTTCTTTGAAAAGACTGAAAAATTGAATAAACTTTGTGATATTAAACAATAAATATTATGAAAGAAAAGGAAGACATTAACAGCTACATCTGAAATATAAAGAAAAAATAAACAATAGCTTTATAACAAAAATTTTTTTTTTAAGGTTTTATTTATTTATTTTTTAGGGAGGAAAGGGAGGGGGGGGAGAGAGAGAGAGAGAGAGAGAGAGAGAGAGAGAGAGAGAGAGAGAAACATCAATGTGCGGTTGCTGGGGGTTATGGCCTGCAACCCAGGAATGTACCCTAGCTGGGAATCGAACCTGGGACACTTTGGTTCCCAGCCCGCGCTCAATCCACTGAGCTACACCAGCCAGGGCTGCTTTATAACAAAAAATTTTTAATTTCAGATGAAAGAGATAAGTTCTTAAAATATATAGCTTACCAAAACACAACCTAACAGATATAACTGAATAATCTTACAGTTACTAGGGACATTACAGTGGTGGTAAAAAAATATTTCTACAAAGAAACAGTTTACAGGCTAATTCTACCAGAATTTCAAGGAACACATCATTTCTATCATACATAAACTCCTCCAAAATAAAAAGAGGAGTTCTTATTTATTTCTATTCATTGACTCATTACATGACACTAGAATAACTCTATTACCAAAAGCAAAGTTCAAGAAAGGAAATTTATAGTCATTTTACAACCACTGAATTGACAAAATTGAGACAATATTAATTAGCCAAACTTCTTTCATATTGCTGTTTCAAGAATAAACTTTTACAACCAGTCTGGAAAACAATTTAGATAATCTTATAAAGTTGACTATTCTCATTCCCATAACAGAGCAAATCTACAAACAGAAGAAGTTCTTGCCCACATGTACCAGCAGACATGTCTCTGTGTTAGCAGACGTACACAGAACTACTTATTATAGCAAAACAAAAAATAAAAACAAAACTAGAAATAACCCAAACGTTTATCCATAGGAAAATGGATAAATAAATTTTAGCACACTCACACAGTGATAGTTTACACTGCAGTGAAAATGAATTGACTATAGATACTTGCAAAATATACATGAATCTTGACACAATACTAAGGAAAAAAAGCAAGTCCCTATCTGACAAATGTTTTATAAAGTTCAAAACCAAATAATATATTGCTTCTATTTATATGAGATAAAATTTTTAATTAAAAAATAAAACAAATTAAAAATATGGTAAGGATAAACATAAATCTTAGGAAGTGCAAGAAAGGAGGAGCACATGGGCAGACACATCTGTTTGAGTTATGCATAACATGAGTTAACAGCTATTGGTTAAATTATTAAATTAATAATGAATAATTAAAAACCACACATGGACCCATGATGATAGTGTACATAAAACAAAGATTATGACATGCAAATCTGTGCAGATGAAGTCCTTTAAAAGAGAGAGAAAACAACTCTCTCCATACTTAGAAAATCATCTCACATGTGTTTAAATCACTCTAAAAACAGCCTAGTTGACCCATGTGAAAAGAACAGGATACTTTGTCCTGGACACACTGAGCAAAAAGACATTTATTCATTCCCTAACAAAAATCAGCTCTCTACCAGGAAAAAATCAGCTGCCAGAACACACCAACCCAATAGATAAGAAATGAGGAGAGAAAAAAATGAAGATTCTGGAGGTCCATTAAAATAAACAAGCACATCCTGAAATAATTACATCCAAACAAAATTTGACAGTTGTCCACATTCTGTCCAAAATTTCCCTTTTCTCATTGTACTTCAATTCTCTGGAATCTTTGAATAAAAAAGACTTAACAGTAGGAAAATGGAGACAACTGTATTCAAACAACAATAAAAAAATAAATGCAACATTATACAAGAATGCATTTAACTTGTGGTCACCAACTTTTGAAAATCTGCAGGAAAAAAAAAGCTTTCAAGGCACATTTAAATTGTAAATGTTAAAAAATAAAAAATAACCGATCTT